GCAACAATGCTAGAAAACCTTGATTTGTCATAGCCCATGGGCTTTAAAGTTGCGGTTAAAATTCAACAAAAAAATGGCCATTTGCAAACCCTATTAACCATACCAATCAACTTGAACCCAATTCCCTTCACTTATATGGAAGAGTTCATATAAGTAACAGTCTGAGATTAGTCAATTTTCAATAAACATGTCCAGTCAACTTGGTGTTTAGAAGAACATTGTTTAACTTTAGATCACAATGAACTATCGGTGTTTCGCTATGGTTATGAAAATAATCCAGTGAATAATAGCAACACCAATAACAATATCTAGCCCTTGAAGAAGATTTTATTCTTGGATGTATTGATCTCTTTCCTCTTCAATTACAGGAGATGGATGCAAATCATGCAACAACTCCTCTAAACTCCTTTGGTGTATCAACTCAAAAACTAGAGCCTTGAAAACATCATGGAGAAAACATGCAGATATGACCTTGACGAGATTTTGATGCTTGATATTTCTCAAAGCCTCATATGCAGCTATGAACCTCTTTGTTAAACACCTTCATATCTACAAGTACAAGCCGAGCTCTATTGTCAGTATAACAACCCCCTTGTATACAAACTTGAAATTGCCAACACCAGTCAAATTAGCTGAAGAAAACCGATCAGTGGCATTTGATAAAGTAGCATATGACACTTACACTGATGGTGGTCAAGTCTGATAGGAACTAGATTTTAATTTATTTCAATAGTACACAAAAATACCAAGTACAAGAAGTAGTAATACACTCTTCACACAATGAACCTCATTTGTGATTATTTACATTGCAAACTTCCACATCTACTGTGGTAACATAAAAACTAGACTTCACAGGCAGTACACGAAATTTCTCTATCACAAAAGCACATAAAAAGGAGTTTCTATCCAAGAAAAGTATTCCTGATGGAATGAAGTTCAGATGCAGCGTCATTGATATTCTTTAGTCGATCTGTTGCGGATTCAGCAGAACAAGCAATTCCAATTCTAAATATTGAACTCAAGCACACCTCAACTTTATGAGTTCTCCCACTGCATTGATTGGGATTCTCGTTCGTGCCTCCTTCAAGAAGTGGTGCGTCTGCAATCTCAGTAATTCGCCCGGGGAAAGCCATCTTGACAAAATTATGAAGGTTCAAGTTATCACCAAACATGTTGTCAGTTGGTCTCTTCCCTGTAAACATCTCCAACAAAAGAATGCCAAAGCTGTAGACATCACCATTCGTTGACACCTCACTCCCTATGCCATACTCTACAATTCAAACATCACATTTGTGTATAAATAGTTCAGTTTGAATTTTGTAAATTAAATACTCCAAAATAAAAAAGGAAATATAATGAAGTATACATCGAACATGTATATACCTGGAGCTGCATAACCAACCGTTCCTCTTATTCCAACGGAACTTGTCTGACTCTGAATTGCTGAAACATTACTCGTTAATTGTGAGAGAAACCTTACTAATCCAAAGTCTGAAACATGGCCAGTCAATTCGTTGTCCAAGAGAACGTTGCTTGGCTTGAGATCACAATGAACTATTGGCATTTCACAATGATTATGAAGATAATCCAGTGCACAAGCAACACCAATGGCAATTTCTAGCCTCTGAATAAGACTTAAATTCTTGGGTACATGATCTCTTAACTCTTGAGTTCCAGTAGGTGGATGCAGCCACTCCTCTAAGCTCCCGTTGTCCATGAACTCATAAACTAGAGCTTTGAAATCATTACCATGAAAATCAACACTTGAACACACGGTTATAATCTTGACGAGATTTCGGTGCCTAATATTTCTCAAAGCTTCACATTCGGCTATGAAACTCCTCGAAGCTCCATGGCGTAACAAGTTAAACACCTTCACGGCAACAAGTTGAGCTTTATCATCCTCATCAAGAACTCCCTTGTACACAGACCCAAAACTACCAGCACCAATTAAATTAGCCTCTGAGAACCGATCAGTAACTTTGAGTAGAGTAGCATATGACACTTGTAAAATAGTGTTCCCCAAAGTGCTTAATGAAATTTCTTTCCTTTTCTTCCTCGACGAACAAAGAAAGAAATAGGAGAATACCATGGCTATTCCTAAAAGAGCAAGTCCAAATACTAAAGGGAGTATTAGTTTCAAGCTACGAGACAATCTTCGTTTCTTGGTCTCTTTAGACTTGCACTTAGGAAGCTTTAAATTAGCAACATGGCTGCACAGATTAGTGTTGCCAACAACTGAAATAGCACTCGCATTTTTGAAAACACCTCCAGTTGGTACCACTCCCCAAAATTGATTGAATGATAAGTTCAGATTACTCAGGATTCTAAAGCCTTCTAAAAAATTTGGAATTTCACCTGAAAAATTATTGCGAGAAAGGTCTAGATTTCGAATCCCTCTCACTGAACTCATAGACAAAGGAATGGACCCGTTGAAGAAGTTTCCTTGCAAATGCAGGACTTCTAAACTCTCACAACCACCAAGGCTACTGGGGAGTTCTCCAGATAACATGTTATCAGAAAGATAAAATTCACTTAGACTCTGGAAATTCCCAACCTCCAAGGGAAGGGAACCTGTGAAGAGGTTATTAGACAAGTCCAAAGAAATCGATAAGGAGGGGAGTCTAAAAACTTGTTTGGGTATTGTGCCATTAAGAAGGTTATAAGAAAGATTCAACGATTGCAACCCATGGCATTCCCCCAGACCTGAAGGAATGCTGCCCTCAAGATGATTTCCATCCAACCCAAGATAGCATAACTTGGTTAAATTTCTTAAGGAAGACGGAATATTTCTTGATAATTTGTTATTGGAAATATCTAATATTCCAAGGTTTGAAAGCTTACCCATGTCAGAGGGGATGTTACCCGTGAAGCTATTATTCCCCAAATACAACGATTGCAAGCTCACCAGATCCCCTATCCCAGATGGGATGCTTCCATATATTTGGTTACCGCCAACCAAAAACGTTTCAAGTTTGGTTGAGAGATTGCATACTGACATCGGCAATGTCCCTCCAAAATTGTTGTCGTTAATAATCAACCTTTGTAACTGGGTGGCATTGGTCGAGTCCGAGAGAAAACTTAAGTCACCATCTTTACCGCTTCCAATATTATTAAATTGAACGCTGAAAATCCGGAGGTTGTGAAGCTTTTGGAGATTCGGTACCCGTCCGATTAGGTTGTTATCCCCAACATGTAATAACCAAACACTTGTGACGTTGAATATTGAGGGAGGTATGGACCCAGTGAGTTGGTTGCTGCCGAAGTTGAAGAATTCGAGATTAGGAAGACTTTTGCCAATATCTGATGGAATACTCCCTTGAATTTGGTTACGGTTTATGGAAAATGAAACAAGAGAAGAGAGGTTATAAATGGAGGAAGGGATGCTACCAGACAACTGATTTAACCCCAATCCCAAGAAGGTTAATTTTTTCAATTGGCCAAGAGAACAGGGGATGTTTCCCATCAAGTTATTACTACCAAGACTTATTAGCTGGAGAGACGACAGGTTCCCCAAGGAAGGAGGGACCTGTCCCGTTACATTATTATCGTATGATGAAAATTTTTGCAGTTTCGACAGCAATCCAATTTCTGAAGGAATTTTACCCACCAATTTGTTGAGAGAGAAATTCACATGGATAAGGTTGAAGCAATATGATATATTGTGTGGAATACTGCCACTAAACGAGTTAACGTCTAATCGCAATACCTGCAGCCTACGCAAATTCCCAATTTGTGGAGAAATTTCATGACTGAAGCTATTATTTCGCAGCCACAGCTCCCTTAGAAAACTTAGATTTCCAATGTTTGGGGATAGTTTCCCTACCAGATTTTGAGATTGCAGGTCCAGTTTAGTGACCCTTTGGCGATGTCGTTGACTGCACGTCACACCATGCCACATGCAAAAGTGCATGGATTCGTTCCAAGAGCTCATCACGTTGTAATTATGGAGATCTTGCTTTATTTGAGCTTTGATGGCAAGCAGCGCCAGCCTATCCGTCGCATTCCCTCCGAGTCCCGATTGAAGGGAGCTCCAACAGCAAACGAACACTGCACTGAAAAGCAAGTATATTAAGATCAATTTCAAAACCAAAACCCCCATTCCTGATCTGATTAACTATATAAGTAGAGAGAGAAGCAGAAAGAAATAGAGAGATGGGTGTTGAGTTGTGAGTTTGGTGAGTTCCATTTGTTGCTTGACAAGGAAATTTATAGAAGGATAGGAACATAGGAGGAACTTACACCACGGTTTCTGGTTCGTGAAATTCAAATATGAGAAGGAATATTAGGACCTATTGTCTGGCACTTTCTGTACGCCAAGGACCAAGACCATTAAAGCACCTTGATTCCAGGAGCTGACTGGGACCATTTGGCAACCATCCAAAATGAAAAAAACAAATACATGGAATCCTATATTTTGGTTACATTAGACGTCACGCTGGTGTCAATATGAAAGTTTGAAGTCTCTACATTTTTTGAGGGGCTGGATTGTGAGATTGCTGATTTTCTCATAGTTCCCCTAAAGTACCATTGCAAGAAAGCTTGTTGTGGATGCAACCTTTCTAAATATTGTAACAGTTACCAGTTAGATCAAACTTTATGAATTTTTAAACTTCATGGGGGCTCAAGACTCGAGAGCATTGATTGAAAATTGTAACATGAAGGCTTAAGTCCCCATTAAACACGTTGGCAGTGGGTCTCTTCCTTGTAAACATCTCCTGCAAGAGAATTTCAAAACTGTAGAGATATCCAGTTATTAACGCCTCACTTCCCATACCATACTCTGCCATTCAAACATCAGAAAATATTGTTAGCAAATTGAGAACAAAATAGTTGAATTATGCAAAATTTAAAATTTAAAAAAAAAGGATATTGTGGAGAGGATGTGAATATTTACCTAAAATCACATAACCAATCATTCTTGTTAGTCCAGTGGAACTTGTCTGATTTGTTGAAGCTGTTGTACTGGTCAGTTGTGAGAGAAACCTTGCTAATCAAAGTCAAACATGTCCAGTCGACATGTTGTCCAAAAGAACAGTACTTGGTTTCAGATCACAATGAACTATCGGTGTTTCGGAGTGATTATGAAGATAATCGACTAATATAAAACAAGCAACATCTATGGAAATGCTGAGCCTTTGCAAAAGATTTAAACTCTTGGGTGCCTCTCTCGCTTCTTCAATATCAGTCGGTGGATGCAGCCACGTCTCTAAGCTTCCTTTTTCCATGTACTCATAAACCAAAGCCTTGAAATCATTACCAAGAGAATCAACACTTGAACATGCAGTTATAATTCTGACGAGATTTTGAAGCTTGAAATTTCTCAAAGCCTCACATTCATATAAAGAACAATATGCCAGTACAAAACCAATTTATAGTACTAGCAAGGTACATTGTAGAAGCAATTTCCTGACTCAGAATTTTGTGAGTCATTTCTTAAATTACGTTTCTTGAAGGCATTAGATTAAACGGCAAACTAGAACGACTGAATGCAACCATGATCGTATTAATAAGCAAGCACTTCTATCTATCAAATATTAAGGCGGAAGTTAATTTACCAAACAATAAATATTTTGTGACTTGCAATTCCATTTTGACGTAGGGACACTGCTCAAATAATGACACCAGGAACAGTAATTGTTTAGATTGACCGCTCGAAAAAGAGTATACCTGTCAAAAACATGACGACTGTTAGAAAATGCATGCATATTCTGATACTACGTAGATACGAGGAAAATGAACTTTTATTTCCAATAACAAAACAACAACCTGCCAACACATACAACCCAAAACAACAAAGTAGAAGCCGCTATCAACAAAGTGACCAATTATTACCACACAGAGAACAGCGATAACGATAACACAATGCCTTCTCCAAACCATTCTGATCAGGAACAAGCAGATACAGAGACTATTTGCAATGACAATAATGAAGACATATTACAGGACATATGATATCTACATATCTACACAAAATCCAGTTCTCTGATTTGATAAAAAAAATGTGCACACGTCAACTGTGGCTACCAGATTCTCATGCAGGGACTCGATTAGGTTCATGAAGTCAAACAGTTAAATCAGAGATCGATGAGGAGCTTACCCAACAATCAATAGTATCAAAGAGAGGACCCACAATACATATTGATACGTCTTGTGTTTAGATTTAACTGGAGTAGTAAGACATCCAGGGGAGCATTCAGTTGGGTAAGTCATTTAAACTGGGGGCGGATCAAAAACAAAAATCCAAGAAGAAATCCGGACACAAATCCTCCAATATGAGCAAAGTTGTCCATGTGTGGTAGAATTCCCACTGCTAAGTTTATTATGATGATGTAAAGGAGAGTAAGCATTGTTGCTAACAGCAGATCGAAATCTGAAACTGTAAGATCAAAGGGTCGTTCACATACTATAAAGAGGTGCATCATTGAGTATACAGAAATTTATTTACCTTATTTACATACATTGTCCAATTTGATGTGAGCTCTCAAAGCATGCTTCCTAGTAAACCAAAAAGTGCACCACAATCCTGGGATTGCTCTCGCACGAACTCGCTTAACTTCGAAGTTCCTACGAAACCCGAAGCTAGTGAGCTCCCAAAAAGCATCGTGCTAGGTAGAGATGAGAATACACACGAGAACCTCTCAGTCGGTCCCGTTTTGGGCCCCGACCACGCTTTCATGGTTTTGTTTCTGGAAACTCACACGAGAACTTCTCAGTCGGTCACCCATCCTGGGATTGCTCTCGCACAAACTCGCTTAACTTCGGAGTTCCTACGGAACCCGAAGCCAGTGAGCTCCCGAAATGCCTCGTGCTAGGTAGAGATGAGAATATACATATAAAGCTTAAAGGATCCACTTCCCTGGACGATGTGGGATCTTACAACCAGACATGAGATATAGGAAACCAATTCGAACCACCAAAGAACAAATCAGAAAAACATTAGAATTTCAAACCAATTAGTTAAAACAGTTCATCAAAACAACTATACATGATGTAGATCAGCATCAAACTATTATTTTTTCAATCTTTTCAAATAGACGGCATCTTGAAACATTTCAAAATGAGGCGCCATGTCTACATGTACAGGACATCCAAAACAATCTTTGTTCACACAGATGTGATGGAAAACTGAAATAATCTCCCAGCTTCTGTTTCAAGCAATTTTATTCTGTAAAATGGAATACTATGTCTAAAACTAAAGTTTGAACCCCATCTTCGGTGTATAAACTCTTTTCTTTGCTCACCGCTGAATAAAACATCCTCTTGTTTCCATCAAACCAAACAACATACCGGTGTAAGTTATAATGCAACCAGCACTATGACCACTACTCTAGGATTACAATTCAATAAACAAATGCATAGGAAATCCTCAATAGATTAATCGCAAGGTAGCTAAAGCCATCCGGAAAGTGTTTGTCTTCTAGATTTATGAAAGAAGTTTTGCACTTGGTAACTAATTTATTATTCTACAACTTATGTCGTGTGCTTTATCTTTTACTACAAACACTTATGGATGTGGCCATACATGCATGATAACATACATGAAGCTAAAAATCCAGATGCATACCAAATCCAAATTCTTGCTCAAGCCGAATTTCAATGAATACAAGACTTAGCATATTGGAAAGCACATGGAAAAATCCAGATGCATAACTAATCGTAGATTTGCTTGTATATTCACTAGGTTTCCCAAGTCCAACATTGATTAAAAACAGAATTACATCAAGCTTCATGCAGTTCAACTATTTTCTTTACAGCCATGTGTACTCCATCCTGACAACATTCCATAAGCCGGAAAATCACTTATAGTCCATAAGACAGCAGCCTTCATTGTAAAACTTTGGTTGGAATACGCATCATAAGTAGGAGTGCCAACCTCCCACAACTCATTCAACTCGTCAATCAATGGACGCATGTATACATCAATATCTTTACCAGGACTGCGTGGTCCTGGTATTAACAGAGACAACAATAAATTTGGCTGCTTCATACACATCCAAGGCGGCAAATTGTAAACAGAAAGCACAACAGGCCATGTGCTATGGTCATTCCTCATTTTCCCAAAAGGATTAAATCCATCACTGGCTAACCCCAATCGGACATTTCGAATTTCTGATGCAAAATCCGGATATATATTATCCAAATGCTTCCATGCTGGAGAATCTGAAGGATGTCTCATAAACTCATCCTTAGGACATTCAGTTGCGTGCCACCTCATATGTTCAGCCATATGCTTCGACATAAAAAATCGTTGCAATCTTGGTTTTAAAGGAAAATACCACATAACCTTAGCTGCGATTTTTTTTCTTGAGCTATCATCTGCGTTGGTAATTTTATATCTTGATTTACCACAAACCGAGCACACGGTCAAATCCGAAGTATCTTTCCAATAGATCATGCAATCATTAGGACATGCATCAATTTTCACATACGACAGACCCAAGTCATTTATAAGTTTTTTTGCCTTGTAACAGGTTTCAGGCAAACAATCCCCTTCAGGCAACATTCTTTTAATTAACTCCAGTAAAGTGGTGAAGATCTCATCTGGCATTCCCGCTAAACACTTAATCTGATACAGTCTTACAACTGCTTCCAATTTCTTAAACTGCTTACAACCTGGCCACAAATCTTGATCTGCCTCTTCAAGCAACCTAAAAAAAGTCTCCACCTCTTCTGGACGCCCTTCCCTAATGGGGGGTTCAGTAGACGGCCCAACACCTTCTTCTGTTAATGGTTGGACAAATACATCATTAAGAAAATCATGCATGCCAATCACCTCATCTCCTGTTTCTTCTTCTCCAATTGCCATATTTTGCTCTCCAATGTTTTGCTCGCCATGATGTCGCCACCAAGCGTTTTTATAATCTTTATCCATATCATACAATATGAGATGTTCAACAATAGTGTTCCTAACAAAAGTGTATCGATTACAACATCTTTTGCAAGGACATCTAAACTTATCAGGTCCAACACCATTTGCAACTGCTTGATCCAAAAACGAATTAATTCCAGCTGTATACGCTTCAAAATTTCGAGGTATCGTCAACCAACTCTTGTCCATGCTTTACCACTTTACGAGGGCAAAATAGTACCTTCACACTAAGATGCCTACAATCTTTCAATCCCTATCATGTAGGCATAACTATTAGAATTTTCAATTTCTATCTTTCAACCCTCGAACTCTATCACAATTGCAATCTTTTAATTTTCAACACCTATTATAGTGAAAACAAATTAAAATAACAACAAAAATTTATCAAAATTATGCTTATCTAATCCATTCTAATAAATACCAACCAAAAGTTATCAAAATAACAGCAAAAACAAATTAAAATAACAATTACAATACAAAATAAATTAATTTAACATAATATATTCTTATATTACTAAATATTATAAGTTTATGTTATATTTAATATTGTTAATTTAACATAAATGCTAATAAATATTATTCATTTCCATTTTCTCATAACAATTCAAGTGACAAAATTAATTAATTCGACTAAATATAAATTAATTTAACAAAAATAATAGAAATTTATCTAAGCACTTAAATTAGAATTTTTAAATAAATAAACTTGTGTTTTATACAATTAAAGAATTTAGTGATAGAAACCTGAATTATGGAAGAATTTCGTCGTCGTTGAATTCTTTACGTAGTCAAGCATCTCAAATAAATTCCCTACAAAAATGAATTGTAAATAAAAATTAAACATAATAGGAGAAAATAAAATATTAAAAAGCAAAAAACACTTACTGTTGAAGAAGTAACAAACGAAATTTGAAGAACAAATAAGAAAGGTCTAAGTGAAAGAACAAGGGGAGGGTTTGTAAGAGAGGAAGAGCAAACAAGAAAAATGGAAGAGAGGATGAAAGAGAACACGGGAGGGTATATAAAGACCCTCAATCCGTAGCTACAACCGACACTAAGTTTTAAAATATTTTAAAAAACTAAAATCTATGTCGCTCAGAACCGACGCAGGCTTTAAATTATTTAAAAACAATAATTTATGTCGCTTAAAAGCGACACTAATACTTTATGTCGCTAAAAAGCGACGCTATTATTTAAAATTATTAAAATATATGTCGGTTCTAAGCGACGTTAAATTTTTACGTCGGTTTAAAAGCGACGTAGACATTTTATGACGCTAAAAAGCGATAGTAAATCCGACGTCATCTTCATTTAGTGTCGCAACTGTCTTATCTGCCACTATATTAAATTAAACCGACGCTAGCCACTGACACTATAAGGCCCTTTTGTAGTAGTGATAACTACTATAACCAAAATTCCAAATCCACCAAGTCACAAAACTTGCCAAAAAATTGTAGAAACATAACTTTCACAATTACTCTTACCAAAAAAAGTCTCAACCTTGATTGATCCCACTCTAATTTCACAAAAAATAAAAATAAAAAAAACCAGTCCAACCATCCAACCCTCCTCAACATTATTTCACCAAAAACACACAAACAAAAGCAACTTACATGAAATGGGACTGCCACTGCGTCAGTTCCCCACAATCCACAACTAAAACTTTCCAAATTTCCACATGCGAGCACCCAACAAATCCCGAAACACAAATTTCAATCCAAAACTGCAAACCCCAACAATTTTAAACACAAAAACTAATAAAAGAGTGAAGCTTTACGTGGTTGAAGACGGCCCAAGAAGTGAGACTCAAAACCGAATGATATAAGTTTTATATGAGGTGAGCTTCTAATAATTCTTTGTTTGTGCCAAAATTAAAGGTTGTGGATCTCTATGTTTGGTTGAGTTTCTGACTGGAGGAATCATTCCCAGATCGCGAGCTTGCATCTACACAGAAGTCCATCTGCCGCACAGTTGGTTGTGGGAAATGAAAATTGTACTGTTATTTTGTTGCAGCTATGGCCTCCGAAAGATGACATTCATGTATGAGCAAGAGGGGGGGTTACTGACGAATTATAGTCATAATCTAGCTGAATTTGTAAGAGTTGTGATTTAAATTCCAATGCTTTCGAATCGTTTTAGTGTTAAGTCATTTCCTTAATTTCAAGTTTATGTTGAAATTGTGTGTGATTTTGTGATTTTTACAGCGAAACCATTTAGCTGAAAGGGTATTCGAGGGATGGGCTTTTCTCTCGAACTTGGATTATCTACCCTCCTATTTCAATGTCTTTCCCGTGCCCTCCTGTTTTGTTTGGTCACGGTTAATCCATGCTAACATTTTATATTATTTTTTATAAAAATAATAAGACAAAAAAAAATAGTAATATAAAATATCGACGTGATTTAACTGTGACCACACAAACAGGAGGGCACCGAATTGGGAGGACAGAGAATCCAAGTCCTTTTCTCTGTCTTCCTCTTGGGTCATGTCATCAAAGGACTTTTTTTTTTTTTTTTGCAGACCCACTTCAAATCGAATAGATGGAAACTACCAACTCATCTCTTGGAGGGTAACTTCTGGAGTTGTTAATTTTTGTGAAATATTTGATCTGGGTTTTTTTTTTGGGGGGGGGGGGGGGGAGTTTGAAATTAGATACTTAGTTTTTGAAATAATGCAATACAATATGATTAAAGAAAGAAGATTCTTATATGATCCACCTTTGTTCCTTATTTATTTTTAATATTTTTTTGTTTTCTAATTTCGCTTTGCATCCTTTTTATGTCCATCAGTTGGCACTCCATGTTTTAAACTAACTCTAAATCTTTGTTGCCAACTATTTTTTGTGTTTTTTGAATTACAGAAAATTTGCTAGGTTTAATTGTTTTTTAATTTTACGGTTTAATTGTTTTCCCTTATTATGATCGAGTGGTAAATTAGTTGAATTCCACAGAGAACGAATAGCTAAATGCATTTTCTTAAATATCTTGCAGTGGCACACTCTGGGGATTTGTTGTTTTCATGCTGTTTAATGTGAAACGTATGCATAAAACTAGAGAGGATTTATCTGTAGTCACCTTCAGTAATATTAGTAGCTTGCGTATTTCATTACTCTGATACTCTTCTAGCTGCTAGTTGGAAGATCATAAATTCATAATACTATTATTGGTTTTGAAAACTCTAAAATGTGACTGTTTTCTATGAACTATGACAGGGTCTAATCTTTATTTCTAGATTGCAATCATTCCAATTGTGGTTAGTACAGATTATACTCATCTCTTTTTCAGTTTCGGTTTGTCACATGTTCATAAAAACTAACTAAACTAACTGCAGTTGCAACAGAAGTATGCTTAACGAATCCACCATAATTAAAAATCTATGCAAAGGATTATTCAACTATTTTGCTTAAGAATTTTCAGTTCAATGTCCCAATAAATGAATATTAAATTGGCTTTAATTCGAAAAAAAAAATCCATTGCAAGTGTATAGTAAAGCAAAGAACCACAATCTTTTAATTTACTTTTTCTGCTTTAGAGTATGGGTCCCTTTCCTTCTCTAAATCCCAATTTTTAACTTCATTTCAAAGGCCATTACATTGCAAATGCCTCTTATTTTTTCATTGAAGTATACATCTTAAGTTGGAACAGGGAAAATCCATTCTGGCCAATCATCCAGCCAACAAAGATTTACTCCAACTCCTTTCAAAGTCTTAATCACATTTCACAAAAGTTCATTACTTTCATTTCGAACGATTGGATTGCCGATCACTAAATCTTTTTTAGAATGTACCTTTATCTAGAAAGCACTTGATTTCAATTCTTCTTGACAAAAATTAATTGTTTCGATTAACGTTGTCTAATTGGAGCCCAAAGGGTTTTGGGTCATTGCAGGTGAGCCCAAAGAGAAAAAAAAAAATAGGCCGAGAGAGGGAGCCCAAAAGGGCTTGGGTTAGGCCCAAAAGATACCGCAGCAGTGCTGGGTGTGTTCGTCGGGGAAGAAAGTCGGCGCCACTGCTTCAGGCTTCCGTGCTTTCAGACAATGGTGCTTGGGGTGAGTCTATAGGTCGTGGGAGACCTCGAAGGTGAACAGAGATTTGAAAAAAAATCTCAACATTCTTTGTAAAACCCTAGAACTTCAAATCGGGTTTTCGAAAAATCTAATGAAATTCAATCGATGTCGGGGACAAGCTTCAGGCCATCAAACATGGTGACCCGAGGTGTGAGGATGGGCTGCAGGCCATCTTGCGATGGTGGAGACGTCATGAAGGGCGTCGGGTTTCTGGGTTTTAACCCGGAGCCTGCAGATCCGGCTTGGGAACTCGATGTGGCCATCCAAGCTTCAGGCTTGGTTTAAGATGCAAGGTCATGGGTTCGAAGAACCCAGACTGTGATTCCCGATTTCGTTTTTTTTTTTCCAATTCAAATATAATTCAATTCAAAGAATATTCAATTCAATATTTTAATAAAAGTACATATATTTGATGCAATTCATGGCAAATATCAAATTCATATAATTCATCAATTATGAATATAATGCATACACAATTTAGGTAGAATCTAAAATTCGAAAAACGTAAAGTTGGGTCATGCATTATGATATACTTTCCCTGTTTTTGTCAATTGTTTTATGTTGTAGCATACATGAATGATTTGGTACGGTTAGAGAGGGAAAGGAACATAAGGCCGGATCCAGAAATTGATGCATTTATGAAGGTTTGTTATTATAAATTAATTTTGACACAAGAAAAAAGAAAGAATTGAATTTCGCATTTTGTGATTGTTTTAGTTTAACTAAAGTTTTAATTTTATTTTGGTCATTTTCATTGCAGAGTTTGCAAAAAAGAAAGAATTGAATTTTGGATTTTGTAATTGTTTTAGTTTAATTGAAGTTTTTATTTTATTTTGGTCCTTTTCATTGCAGAGTTTGCAATTGGGGTGTGTATACGCGTGTTCTGTATGTTGTCCTGAAACATGTGATCATATTTACCTTTTTGATAATGACTATGATGATACAAAACATATCTACAGGAAATCCATGCGTTGCAGATTCCCATATGATCAGAGAGGTCGACTTATCTTGGAGGTAATGCTAATCAAAATATGCTACCAACCACCAGTCTCATCTCTCTAATTCCAGCATGCTTTTATAGTGTTGCCCTGGATCACATATGATGGTGGTATGCTCTCCATTGTTGGACGTCTTTAACTTCTTTTTCATTTTGCTTGATAGCCATTTATACCCTGGAAAGCAATAAATATGCCGTGTTGCAAACAAGCACATAAAAAAGCGTAACTTTGATTTGGTGGTTTTTATAAGCTCAGGATCTTTTCTATATCGAAGATTGATTTTTCTATCTTAACCATTTGCTAGATAGGAAAATTGCCTGAGATAGTTCCCGCTTAAATCATGCTCTCTCTCTCTCTCTCTCTCTCTCTCTCTCTCTCTCTCTCTCAAATAGAGACATGATTCAAAATTAACATCACAAATATTGTTGATGCCACATCTTTTGTTGAGAAGTCATGAAACAAAAGACATGTTGCTAAGATCCTGAAAGATTGAACAATATTTGAACAGTCAGTGCTTGGATAAATAGTAGAAGACACGTGCATGAGGTAGCACAGAGGAAAATCCTTCCCGCTTCTTCCATGCTCTGGCCTCTGCCGCTTCCAGCTCCGAACTCGGATCTGAAGGCCTCATGGGTATATTCGCTCACACTTCTCTCTCTTATTTCCCTGCTAATCATTCCAAATTTTATTTTTGTGTGGAATTTTAAATTTTGAAATCAGGGTAGATTACAACCATGTGTTACACATTTGGGATTTTGAGTACATATAGTATTTCTAAGTTTTCCCTCTTTGTTTTAGAGATAATCAACTGTTATTAAGCTGTTTTCGTAGTGATTATAACTTCTTTTAGAACTAATGAATCAAGTGATAGCAAGATAAGCTAATCGAAACAGCACAAATATGAAGGAAAATAAGTTCTGCTTTCTTAAGGTTTCAAATTTTTTCAAGTTTGGAGGCTTATGTGAATCTCTAACAATTGTTCAAATTGTTGTATCCAAGTATGCATTATACATTCAATTGAGCCAATGAAGCATGTGTGCCAACAAATTTTGAAGAGTTTGGCTTGGTTTTCTCTCTTTGGTCTTTAATATTTAAGTGTGAGACACCTGTTTGTTCACTAATTGAGACCCTTCCCTAAGTTTTTAGTAGATATTGTGTAATTTGCTTTTATGAGCACTTCTTTAAGCTGTCAAATCCCCAAAATGTACAAGGAGATATCAAGTTTAAAAAGTCACGAACTGTGATCAAACCAAATGCAGTGAAATTAGGGATTTTACACTTGAAAAACTTAGTTAGCTTTAGACCATAGGATTAGCATTTTGCATATATGAGTATCATTGACTTGCTCATTTTATTTTTCTGGATAAGAAACAAACTATTATTGAAGGGAGAAGAAAGTGTACAAAAACAAAGTTTCTGTAAGCTTGCACTCATATACCTAATATTTTAATTTCTTTTCTTGGCAGGTATTTTCTCTGATATTAGAGGCTATTACTTGGTGCTCTACGCTGAATGACCTATTTTTGAGAAAGGCATGGATTACTTTCAGGCATTTTCCATACACAATTGGATCATGATAATATTTTGAGGCAATTCAATTTATTCCACATGTGAATAGTTTTGAATTCAAAGTTTAGTTTTTCGATTTCAATCTGGCATATGATATTTGAATAGCAGAAGCATTTTCTGTGTCATTTTAATTTTCTGAAAGTTAACTAAGTGAAACAATATTTTGTCATTTTTCTTCAGGTAAATAAAATAATGTTTCGTAATCTTTATGTAAGTACTATTGTCAATCCAAAGCCACAAGAAATACCATTCAAAAGGGACTCAAGAAAAGCGATATTGTCGCTAGAACTGAATATGAATGGTTTCTTATAGCATGTATATCCATATATAGCAAGCAAAGTTTCACTTCATTGGTTTTTAGATGCTAGACCGTCTTTTTAGTTACTTTCTATGGAAATTATTCATGCATGTTGTAGATAATGGTTTCAAAACCCGCAACAAAGTGAGGGCAAATTTTCTAGTTCAAACTAAACAAAGAACCAAATAAAAACCATTCAATCTCATGGTAAAATGCCATTCCATCAAATAAGAATGCAAATAAACATAGAAAACGGGACTAGCTACAACTAGAAGAATCAAATTTCTCATTGTCATAGACAGCCATAACAAATAATTTCATCCCAATAGCCATAATAAATAATTTCATCCAATTTTATCATAAAGATTGGAGGGTTCGCAGTGACTCTATTCTTGAGCCATCTTCAATTCGGAACACACACAAGCGTCGTCGTTCTCCTTTTTGAATGAAAACTCTCAGACCACGTATAGTATATTAGTCCATTTTTGTGGCTTTAGAAACCCTATAATTATTTTGATCGAATGCAACTTAGTAGAAGGAAGTAGGGTGTTAAAATGACAGAAATAACCCTGAACACAAGTCATGTCACTCGCACATGACTTACTTTGAATGGAAAACTTAACGGAATTAGGATGAGATGACAAATTGATGATATGAGAAAGTTGGTATGAAAAATTACTTAAAATTTTAGTTTATTTGACAAATTGAAAAATATGTACAAAGTTTATATGAGATTTCAAAAATTTTCCTTTTTCCCAAATTATCTATTCTGAAGTTAGGAGCAATTGACCGTAGCTTAGCTATAGTCAAATCTTTGCCACTCAATTTCACACTATTTACAACAATGCCATCAAAATGGGGTTGGGTTGGGAGGGTAATTCTCAAAAGTTGAGAGGGTAATTTTGTCCGTATGGTTTAGAACGGATTGCGATGGGTTTAGACGCGTGCGCTGTCTTCTCATCTTTCACTCTTCCTGTTTCTGTCCTTGTCTACCGGAAAACCCACAATCTTTCATCTTCCTCTGCTTTTCCTCTCTCCCCGCTCCCCATATCCCTCGGCATGAAGCACACAAACCAAGTAGTCACGGTCGAAAGCCTCAAACATGGCGGAGGCGAAATGGAGGTGCAGTGACGGTCGACAACTGCCTCCGGTGTCGATGATTTTGGCCGTCAGAAAGCGTCCTCGCTCCGATTATGGTATGTTGAATTTCTCGATTCTCCCTTTATTTGAGTCTCCTCTCTCCTTTTGCGTTTGTTTAGGGTTTATAAATTAGGGTTCTTAGGGATTTTAGGGTTTTCTCGCTTTTTTTTTTCTTCAGAAATTGCACTGTATTTCTCAGATCGGAGCTGTTCTTATTTTGAAAAAATTGGACTAATGTTGATTTTAGCTTTCGTCTTTCTGGTAATTACTCTGAACCCCCAAAAGATTTGAAATTTCTGGTAATTGTTCTCATTGTTTTTGACAATTTGTATAAATTGCTGCCATTGTGTTGTGAAGTGTTATGAGTATTTCAAAGAACACCGATTCTATCAATTGCAATTCTGCAGATGACTAATGAAAAAAAAACGCCTAGAAAACACCATCGGATGATGTTTTAATCAATTGAGAAAAGTGTAATTACTCACATTTTAACAAATTAAGGTTTCTTATTTCACTTCTTTGCAGGAAGCTATTAATTTTGCATCAAGCGGAGAAGTGGCTGACGGTCAACGTAAGCTCATAGCTCTTGCAGCTGCAAGAGGAAACTCAAGTGCAGTAAATCCTCTGGTCACACAACTCACTAATGGACTTTTGGGTGATCTTCATGAGAAGGTTAATTTATCCACATTGGAGAATTTCTCATTATACAATTCTACTGAATTTTTTTTTCAAATTTAAATTTGAATATAAATTTTAAAATTTTGGTTTTGATTATGCAGTTCGTGGATTCTGTGCTGCTGTGGTATATTTAAATGTTGCCGTCCTCCACTGTTTGAGCCTGGGCCTCCTCCACCACCGTAGTGGTATATTTTCTTAGGAGCCTACTTTGCATGAATTATTTTGTGTAATTGGTTGACTTAAATCTTTATTTGATCTAACTATTCCAATTTGGCTAATTTGTTTTTTAATTTTTTATTATATTGGAGTGGTATTTTGGGTATGCTATCTTTGGATGCTTAGAAAGATAGTAATTTACTTTTGTGTTTGATTTTTCACTAATGGTATGTTGTGATGGGGTTTAGTAATTTTCAGTATTCTTCAATTATTTTGAATTTGCAAAATCAAATAACTCGTGGAAATAAATTAATATTTCATTAATCTGTATGTAAGAGGACTTTACAATATGTCATCAAGTTTAGACCGACAACAATGAATGGCAAACTTAGGATTAATGCCTCTATTAATTTGATGTTTTCTCATGGTCGAGAAATATATACAGCTGTCCTATTTATTGGACAACATCACTCATCCTCTATATTTAATATTAATTGCTTTTCTTAATCTATTTTTCCGTCAATCTTTTCTGCTACCTAATCTCATTTGTTTTTCGATTTTGTGAAATGTTTTGGAAGCGGGAGTGTTTGAAATGTATTGATGCTGATGATAGTGCCGAATTTGGTGACACTCCTCAACTAGCAGAGCAGTAACAGAGCTTCTTCCAACTCAAATTTAATGATTCAAGCTGCGTAAGATTTGCATAACATTCCCAAGTTGTAGTCGATGTGCCTTAGTGGTTGAGTGCTTGACTAATGAATGTAACCACTAAGATTTGGATTGTTTTTGGGGGGTAAGAAATAACATTGCTAATTTCGGATTTATGGGTTTGAATTTTTGTCGAGCATGTGATTCTTTGTTCTCTGTGTATTGATTGACTGATGAAAAAATGTAGCCATAAAATATTGATTTTGACAATTTTGATTATGAGATCGCCTCTTTATATAATGTACAATTTTTGTAGTTGCCTTCAATGTTGTTGTCATTGGCTCGGGTGCTCAAAAGATCTATAAAATGTTGTTTTGCCAATAATGTGGGTATTGAGTTGAATATCATAAAAGTGAACATCTGTAACTATAGATCTGCAAATGTTTGGTAGATAGAGCAATTTGGGAATTTGTTACCTAAACATTGATGGATAACATGTAATCATTTTTTTTACGTGAATGTTGAATGTTGAATGCCTTATCGTTTTGGTTTTTAACATGCCATTGTTTATCTATATCCAAAATGAGTCTGAATCTTTTCAAATAAATGTTACTTTCTGATTTGAGAAATTGTAATTCACCTTTTATTGATCTTTTCCTATATATTTGATTTACAGAGCTCTTGGGTTGTCAATTGTGACTGGAAATTCTACTCCTCACATGGATCATAGGCAAGGTATTAAATATCGATGATATCGGAAATATCGATAGTCCAAAAACACAGAAATTTCGATGGAAATATCGGGATATTATCGATATCGATAAAAATTGAATAAAAACCCTGGAAATTGTAAGAAAAACTTGGAAATTTTTATTGAAACTTTGCAGGATGTTTATTTAGTCAATTATCTATTAGTTTATCACAAAAAATTGGAAGGAAATGCATTGCATGATAGATATAACTTATTTAAGTTGATTATATAGCGAGCTGGCAAACATTGTGAGTGTAGAAAATATGTAGTAATTAATGAAAGAAGTTTAAACACACCATAATCATTTATATATAATGAATTAGTACAATATTTTACACTTTATACATTGCATGGTAAGATACATGAGTGACTTAGTAAGGTCTAAAATATCGATGATATCGGAAATATTGGTAGTCCAAAAACACGGAAATTTCGATGGAAATATCGGGATATTATGGATATTTTAGACCATGATCATAGGTAAAAAACACTATTTTCTTTTCTTAGTACTTTTCCTTCAAATGTGTTTTATTCTGAGATTGTCTCTTTATATATTGTAAATTTCTAAACTTATGCAAACTTTAGAGCATATAGGAACGCAAATGTTTTCCATTTTAGGTACAAAGAACCAAATATGTTATCTATGTCTTCAATGAAATGCTTTAGTGTTATTGCTTTTAATTGTTTAGTTTTAACTAATGTTTGGATGCTTAAAAATATTATTCATTTGGTCTTTTTGAACCTGAACGGATAATCAAATTGGAATAGATTCTATTTTTTGAGTTCATTTTGCTTATCAATTTAACTTACTTCTTTGAACCAAATGCAAATTCCAATCTTGCATTGTTAAGCCCTGAAATTAGAACAAAAAAAATTGCATGAAATTGAAGTTTTCTCTGATTGAGAACTCATTTTTCTTCTACTTGAAGTTTTCTCTGATTTTTGAATAATTTAGAAATGGGTATGTTAAATTGTGGGTTACGATTTCAAAATCCGCGGTCGAGCGTGGACATTATTCCTAGTATGAAACTTATTTTGCACAACCATTAACAAATTGTTTGCACCTTTACGCAATCTCCATTAGAAAAGCCACAAGTTTCTCAACCAAGCAAATTGGCATCATAATATCCAACGGGTGCAAATTAGCCTTTTCTCATTTTTTAATTTTCTTTTGAAAAACACCAAGGAGCAGGTGCAGCTAGCACCATTACTATGTCTGTCCAAAGATCAAATGCCCCTTTCTTTCTTTTTCTTCTGCAAAACGGCCACAGTACCCAAACTCTTATTTTCTATAAGAAGCTTGCTAAAGACGAACTACCACATCAACTAAATGAACTACTTATATTATTGGGGTGATTTTTAGTCATCACCCTCAAGTGGTGGTAATGCTTACCATCTTATTTATTGTTGTTGTATGGGTTTAAATTTTAAGATTTGTTCCATCCAAGGTATTAAGCTCATATGATGATGATAAATAAGGTAGTGAGCATCACCATCATTTGAGTGTGGAGAACAAAAATATTCTTATGATATTGTACGCAAAAGGGGAAAATTTCCTAATTGCAAAAGCAAAATAGAGATGTAATAATTAAAGAGTTTTTAAGCTCTTAATTAATGGTATTTAATTTGCTTGGTAACGAAAATTATTTGGGAGTCAGTCACCTACCGCATGCATGCAAAATGAAGGAGACAATTCATGGACCAAATTACACCACCATATCCTTTGGAACTTCACTTATAGCCCCATGTTCACTTGGAAGACATGAAAATTATGAACAAAATTGATTTTTCTCCTAACCATGCCAACTGGGTCATGATAAATTTATAACTCAATCAAGTTTATTTGCTTTGATAATTAATTTTTGAGGTAACAATTTATGATGAGATTCATTAAATACTAACAATTAGAGGACAATATTAATTGGAGTGCGTTAAAGATAGGGCAATAAGTGACACAGCTATAAGTCACATTATCGTGACATATCTTTGTACTAAAAACAAATTTGTTAGTATTCTGTTGATTGCCGTTGAAAAAATCTCTATCAATTGTAATAAATCTTAATTCAAATTCATTAATGAACGGTTGAAAATTTTCATTTTTGTAGTTTTAATAGAAACTCTTTCATGCCACTTAGTACTACGGTCTAGTGGTATTATCTTCACTTGTAAGTTGGAGGTTTTGGATTCAATTCTTGTCAAAGACGAATTTGAATCACATTATTGTTAGCTCATTGTGAGACTAAGCCTATCCCCTTCCTCTTAGATAATATCATTTGTTCGAACAAAAAAAAATTAAAACTCTTTCATTGTCAAGATTAGTAGAATGACTGCTAAAACCATTGGATTATAATTCAGAATGCATATGGGAGAATATTGATAGCTACAATGCTAGAAAACCTTGATTTGTCATAGCCCATGGGCTTTAGTTGGGGTTAAAATTCTACAAAAAAATGGCCATTTGCAAACCCTATTAACCATACCAATCAACTTGAACCCAATTCCCTTCACTTATATGGAAGAGTTCATATAAGTAACAGTCTGAGATTAGTCCATTTTCAATAAACATGTCTAGTCAACTAGGTGTTTAGAAGAACATTGTTTAGCTTTAGATCACAATGAACTCTCGGTGTTTCACTATGGTTATGAAAATAATCCAGTGAATAAAGCAACACCAATAACAATATCTAGCCCTTGAAGAAGATTTTATTCTTGGATGTATTGATCTCTTTCCTTTTCAATTACAGGAGATGGATGCAAATCATGCAACCACTCCTCTAAACTCCTTTGGTGCATCAACTCAAAAACTAGAGCCTTGAAATCATCATCGAGAAAACATGCAGATATGACCTTGACGAGATTTTGATGCTTGAGATTTCTCAAAGCCTCATATTCGGCTATGAACCTCTTTGTTAAACACCTTCATATCTACAAGTACAAGCCGAGCTCTATTGTCAGTATAAACAACCACCTTGTATACAAACTCGAAATTGCCAACACCAGTCAAATTAGCTGAAGAAAACCGATCAGTGGCTTTTGATAAAGTAGCATATGACACTTACACTGATGGTGGTCAAGTCTGATAGGAACTAGATTTTAATTGATGTGAATATTACACAAAAATACCAAGTACAAGAAGTAGTAATACACTCTTCACACAATGAACCTCATTTGTGATTATTTACATTGCAAACTTCCACATCTACTGTGGTAACATAAAAACTAGACTTCACAGGCAGTACACGAAATTTCCCTATCACAAAAGCACATAAAAAGGAGTTTCTATCCAAGAAAAGTGTTCCTAATGGAATGAAGTTCAGATGCAGCGTCATTGATATTCTTTAGTCGATCTGTTGCGGATTCCGCAGAACAAGCAATTCCAATTCTAACTATTGAACTCAAGCACACCTCAACTTTATGAGTTCTCCCACTGCATTGATTGGGATTCTCGTTCGTGCCTCCTTCGAGAAGTGGTGCGTCTGCAATCTCAGTAATTCGCCCGGGGAGAGCCATCTTGACAAAATTATGAAGGTTCAAGTTATCACCAAACATGTTGTCAGTTGGTCTCTTCCCTGTAAACATCTCCAACAAAAGAATGCCAAAGCTGTAGACATCACCATTCGTTGACACCTCACTCCCCATGCCATACTCTACAATTCAAACATCACATTTGTGTATAAATAGTTCAGTTTGAATTTTGTAAATTAAATACTCCAAAATAAAAAACAAATATAATGAAGTATATATCGAACATGTATATACCTGGAGCTGCATAACCAACCGTTCCTCTTATTCCAACGGAACTTGTCTGACTCTGAATTGCTGAAACATTACTCGTTAATTGTGAGAGAAACCTTACTAATCCAAAGTCTGAAACATGGCCAGTCAATTCCTTGTCCAAGAGAACGTTGCTTGGCTTGAGATCACAATGAACTATTGGCATTTCACAATGATTATGAAGATAATCCAGTGCACAAGCAACACCAATGGCAATTTCTAGCCTCTGAAAAAGACTTAAATTCTTGGGTACATGATCTCTTAACTCTTCAGTTCCAGTAGGTGGATGCAGCCACTCCTCTAAGCTCCCGTTGTCCATGAACTCATAAACTAGAGCCTTGAAATCATTACCATGAAAATCAACACTTGAACACACGGTTATAATCTTGACGAGATTTCGGTGCCTAATATTTCTCAAAGCTTCACATTCGGCTATGAAACTCCTCGAAGCTCCATGGCGTAACAAGTTAAACACCTTCACGGCAACAAGTTGAGCTTTATCATCCTCATCAAGAACTCCTTTGTACACAAACCCAAAACTACCAGCACCAATTAAATTAGCCTCTGAGAACCCATCAGTAACTTTGAGTAGAGTAGCATATGACACTTGCAAAATAGTGTTCCCCAAAGTGCTCAATGAAATTTCTTTCCTTTTCTTCCTTGACGAACAAAGAAAGAAATAGGAGAACACCATGGCTATTCCTAGAAGAGCAAGTCCAAATACTAAAGGGAGTATTAGTTTCAAGCTACGAGACAATCTTCGTTTCTTGGTCTCTTTAGACTTGCACTTGGGAAGCTTTAAATTAGCAACAAGGCTGCACAGATTAGTGTTGCCAACAACTGAAATAGCACTCGCATTTTTGAAAACACCTCCAGTTGGTACCACTCCCCAAAATTGATTGAATGATAAGTTCAAATTACTCAGGATTCTAAAGCCTTCTAAAAAATTTGGAATTTCACCTGAAAAATTATTGCGAGAAATGTCTAGATCTTGAATCCCTCTCACTGAACCCATAGACAAAGGAATGGACCCGTTGAAGAAGTTTCCTTGCAAATGCAGGACTTCTAAACTCTCACAACCACCAAGGCTACTGGGGAGTTCTCCAGATAACATGTTATCAGAAAGATAAAGTTCACTTAGACTTTGTAAATTCCCAACCTCCGGGGGAAGGGAACATGTGAAGAGGTTATTAGACAGGTCCAAAGAAATCGATAAGGAGGAGAGTCCAAAAACTTGTTTGGGTATTGTGCCGTTAAGAAGGTTATAAGAAAGATCCAACGCTTGCAACCCATGGCATTCACCCAGACCTGAAGGAATGCTGCCCTCAAGATGATTTCTATCCAATCCAAGATATATTAACTTGGTTAAATTTCTTAAGGAAGACGGAATATTTCCTGATAATTTGTTATTGGAAAAATGTAATATTCCAAGGTTTGAAAGCTTACCCATGTCAGAGGGGATGTTACCTGTGAAGCTATTATTCCCCCAAAGCAACGATTCCAAGCTCACCAGATTCCCTATCCCAGATGGAATGCTTCCATATATTCGGTTAGAGTGAACCCAAAACGATTCAAGTTTGGTTGAGAGATTGGATATTGACATGGGCAATGTCCCTCCAAAATTGTTGGTGCTAATAATCAGCCTTTGTAACTGGGTGGCATTGGTCAAGTCCGAGAGAAAACTTAAGTCACCATCTTTACCGCTTCCAATATTATTATATTCAATGTTGAAAAGCTTTTGGAGGTTGTGAAGCTTTTGGAGATTCGGTACCCGTCCGATTAGGTTGTTACTCCCAACATCAAAATACCAAACACTTGTGACGTTGGATATTGAGGGAGGTATGGACCCGGTAAGTTGGTTTGAGGCGACGCTGAAGAATCTGAGATTAGGAAGACTTTTGCCAATATCTGATGGAATACTCCCTTGAATTTGGTTACCTCCTATGAAAAAATGTAACAAGAGAAGAGAGGTTATAAATGGAGGAAGGGATGCTACCAGACAACTGATTTAACCCCAATCCCAAGAAGGTTAATTTTTTCAATTGGCCAAGAGAACTGGGGATGTTTCCCATCAAGTTATTACTAAGAAGACTTGCTGACTGGAGAGACGAAAGGTTCCCTAAAGAAGGAGGGACCTGTCCCGTTATATTATTAAAGCTTAATGAAAATTTTTGCAGCTTCGACAACAATCCAATTTTTGAAGGAATTTTACCCACCAACTTGTTGCGAGAGAAATTCACATGGATAAGGTTGAAGCAATATGATATATTGTGAGGAATACTGCCACTAAACGAGTTAACGTCTAATCGCAATACATGCAATCTACGCAAATTCCCAATTTGTGGAGGAATTTCATAACTGAAGCTGTTGTTTTGGAGCCACAGCTCCCTTAGAAAACTTAGATTTCCTATGTTTGGGGATAGTTTCCCTACCAGATTTTGAGATTGCAGGTCCAGGTTAGTGACCCTTTGGCGATGTCGACCGCACGTCACACCACGCCACATGCAAAAGTGCACGGATTCGTTCCAGGAGCTCATCACGTTGTAATTATGGAGATCTTGCTTTATTTGAGCTTTGATGGCAAGCAACGCCAGCCTATCCGTCGCATTCCCTCCGAGTCCCGATTGTGGGGAGCTCCAACAACAAACGAACACTGCACTGAAAAGCAAGTATATTAAGATCAATTTCAAAACCAAAACCCCCATTCCTGATCTGGTTAACTATATAAGTAGAGAGAGAAGCAGAAAGAAATAGAGAGATGGGTGTTGAGTTCTGAGTTTGGTGAGTTCCATTTGTTGCTTGACAAGGAAATTTATAGAAGGATAGGATCATAGGAGGAACTTACACCACAGTTTATGGTTCTTGAAATTCAAATATGAGAAGGAATATTAGGACCTATTGTCTGGCACTTTCTGTACGCCAAGGACCAAGACCATTAAAGCACCTTGAAATTCCAATATGAGAAGGAATATTAGGACCTATTGTCTGGCACTTTCTGTACGCCAAGGACCAAGACCATTAAAGCACCTTGATTCCAGGAGCTGACTGGAACCATTTGGCAACCATCCAAAATGAAAAAGACAAATACATGGAATCCTATATTTTGGTTACATCAGACGTCACGCTGGTGTCAATATGAAAGTTTGAAGTCTCTACATTTTTTGAGGGGCTGGACTGTGAGATTGCTGATTTTCTCATAGTTCCCCTAAAGTACCATTGCAAGAAAGCTTGTTGTGGATGCAACCTTTCTAAATATTGTAACAGTTACCAGTTAGATCAAGCTTTCTTAATTTTTAAACTTCATGGGGGCTCAAGACTCGAGAGCATTGATTGAAAATTGTAACATGAAGGTTTAAGTCCCCATTAAACACATTGGCAGTGGGTCTCTTCCTTGTAAACATCTCCTGCAAGAGAATTTCAAAACTGTAGACATATCCAGTTATTAACGCCTCACTTCCCATACCATACTCTGCCATTCAAACATCAGAAAATATTGTTAGCAAATTGAGAACAAAATAGTTGAATTATGCAAAATTTAAAAATTAAAAAAAAAAGGATATTGTGGAGAGGATGTGAATATTTACCTAAAATCACATAACCAATCATTCTTGTTAGTCCAGTGGAACTTGTCTGATTTGTTGAAGCTTTTGTACTGGTCAGTTGTGAGAGAAACCTTGCTAATCAAAGTCAGAAACATGTCCAGTCGACATGTTGTCCAAAAGAACAGTACTTGGTTTCAGATCACAATGAACTATCGGTGTTTCGGAGTGATTATGAAGATAATCGACTAATATAAAACAAGCAACATCTATGGAAATGCTGAGCCTTTGCAAAAGATTTAAACTCTTGGGTGCCTCTCTTGCTTCTTCAATATCAGTCGGTGGATGCAGCCACCTCTCTAAGCTTCCTTTTTCCATGTACTCATAAACCAAAGCCTTGAAATCATTACCAAGAGAATCAACACTTGAACATGCAGTTATAATTCTGACGAGATTTCGAAGCTTGAAATTTCTCAAAGCCTCACATTCATATAAAGAACAATATGCCAATACAAAACCAATTTATAGTACTAGCAAAGTACATTGTAGAAGTAATTTCCTGACTCAGAATTTTGTGAGTCATTTCTTAAATTACGTTTCTTGATGGCATAAGATTAAACGGAAAACTAGAACGACTGAATGCAACCATGATCGTATTAATAAGCAAGCACTTCTATCTATCAAATATTAAGGCGGAAGTTAATTTACCAAACAATAAATATTTTGTGACTTGCAATTCCATTTTGACGTAGGGACACTGCTCAAATAATGACACCAGGAACAGTGATTGTTTAGATTGACCACTTGAAAAAGAGTATACCTGTAAAAAAACATGACGACTGTTAGAAAATGCCTGCATATTCTGATACTACATAGATACGAGGAAAATGAACTTTTATTTCCAATAACAAAACAACAACCTGCCAACACATACAACCCAAAACAACAAAGTAGAAGCCGCTATCAACAAAGTGACCAATTAGTACCACACAGAGAACAGCGATAACGATAACACAATGCCTTCTCCAAACCATTCTGATTAGAAACAAGCAGATACAGAGACTATTTGCAATGACAATAATGAAGACATATTACAGGACACATGATATCTACATATCTACACAAAATCCAGTTCTCTGATTTGATTAAAAAAAAAAAATGTGCACGAGCAAACTGTGGCTACCAGATTCTCATGCAGGGAATTGATTAGGTTCATGAAGTCAAAAAATTAAATCAGACATCGAGGAGGAGCTTACCCAACAATCAATAGTATCAAAGAGAGGACCCACAATACATATTGATACGTATTGTGTTTAGATTTAACTAGAGTACTAACACGTCCAGGGGGAGCATTCCGATGGGTAAGCCATTTAAACAGGGGGCGGATCAAAAACAAAATCCAAGAAGAAATCTGGAGACAAATCCTCCAACTTGAGCAAAGTTGTCCACGTGTGGTAGAATTCCCACTGCTAAGTTTATTATGATGATGAAAAGGAGAGTAAGCCATGCTGCTAACTGTGGATAGAAATCTGAAACTGTAAGATCAAAGGGTCATGCACATACTATAAAGAGGTGCATCATTGAGTATACAGAAACTTTATTTACCTTATTTACATACATTGTCCAATTTGATATGAGCTCTGAAAGCATGCTTCCGAGTAAACCAAAAAGTGCACCAGAAGCACCAACAGAAATACCATATTGAATAAAAAGAGCTGAAAGCAAACTCCCACCAAAACCAGACGTGAGATATAGGAAACCAATTCGAACTGCCGAAGAACAAATCAGAAAAACATTAGAATTTCAAACCAATTAGTTAAAACAGTTACATGATGTAGATCAGCATCAAACTATTATTTTTTCAATCTTTTCAAATAGACGGCATCTTGAAACATTTCAAAATGAGGCGCCATGTCTACATGTACAGGATATCCAAAACAATCCTAGTTCCCACAAATGTGATGGAAAACTGAAATAATCTCTCAGCTTCCGTTTCAAGCAATTTTATTCTGTAAAATGGAATACTATGTCTAAAACTAAAGTTTGAACCCCATCTTTGGTGTATAAACTATTTTCTTTGCTCACCGCTGAATAAAACGTCCTCTTGTTTCCATCAAACCTAGCAACATACTGGTGTAAGTTACAATGCAACCAACACTACATGACCACTACTCTAGGATTACAATTCAATAAACAAATGCATAGAAATCCTCTGTAGATTAATCGCAAGGTAGCTAAAGCCATCCGGAAAGTGTTTCTCTTCTAGATTTATGAAAGAAGTTTTGCACTTGGTAACTAATTTATTATTCTACAACTTATGCCGTGTGCTTTATCTTTTACTACAAACACTTATGGATGTGGCCATACATGCATGATAACATATATGAAGCTAAAAATCCAGATGCATGCCAAATCCAAATTCTTGCTCAAGCCGAATTCCAATGAATACAAGACTCAGCATATTGGCAAGCACATGGAAAACTCCAGCATGTAACCACATACATGAGATCAGCCGCCATCCCTGGTGTTGATGAACCACTCCCACTCTCTGCGCGTCTAGAGCACCCATCTTTTCTAACCTTTAGGATGAAAACACATGAGAAACAAGTTAGATATGCAACTGAGACCTATTGACCCTTATGGGGCATGTCTACAGCTCTTATTTCCAAACAGATGATAGCTCTCTCGCCCTTGTAGTGCTACTTTTAGCAGTTATAGACTTTGGATGGTGCATACCGAAATGAGCACATTAAACAGCTTAAAAGAATGACAAAACAAACAAGTCCTTTAAATGCATACCCGCTCTTACCAGATCGTTCTACCATGATCGTTCTACCATTGGCCTCACAGACCAAGGAAAGTCAAACGAAAATTTTGAAACCAAGTCGCTAAAGAACACTAATGTAAAACTTTAAGCCTATAACATACTACAGGGGACATTTTGATTAACATAGCAATCTAATCAAACCAAGTAGTTCACTACTGTAGCTTTTCGAGCACCTTTCTTTATTGTTCAAGCATTTCCGATACGCCGACATCAAATAGACATCAAGCATTGCCTGAGTGTCACTAAATACCTAAAACCCTCATTACCTCTCAAGCTCCTTTAAGTTTCTCAACTAATCGTAGATTCGCTTCTATATTCACTAGGTTTCCCAAGTCCAACATTTGATTAAAAGCAGAATTACATCAAGCTTCATGCAGTTCAACTATTTTCTTTACACATATATCTAATATAACCAAAATTCCAAATCCACCAACTCAGAAAATTTGCCAAATTTTTTGTAAAAACATAACTTTCACAATTACTCCTACCTAAATGGGTCTCAACCTTGATTGATCCCACTCTAATTTCACAAAACAAATCAAACGAGTCCAACCATCCAACCCTCCTCATCATAATTTCACCAAAAACACACAAACGAAAGCAACTTACATTAAATAGGACCGCCACTGCATCAGTTCCCCACAATCCACAACTAAAATTTTCCAAATTTCCACATGCGAGCACCCAACAAATTCCGAAACACAAATTTCAACCCAAAACTGCAAACCCCAACAAATTTAAACACAGAAACTAATAAAAGGGTGAAGCTTTACGTGGTTGAAGACGGCCCAAGATGTGGGTTTTCCTTGAAGGGCTGAAAGGAGAGGCGATGAGATTTTCAGCCACGGTATTAGGCTATTAGCAATATCTGTTTAGATTTTTGTTCAAGTGTGAACTTTGTAAGTTTTTTATATTTTTTTTGGATTTTTTACCATAGAATTAATCCTGATCATTGAATTTTTCAAAATTTTAATATCAAATGCGCCACAAAGAGCACAACATCATCTTTTTAAATTTCTTATATCTTTTGAAATTTAATGATCCGGATCAACAAACGGTTGAAAATCCAACAGCTGTGGGGTGCCCAGATTGGAGCCGTTTGGTTCACATCGGTGCACAGGATTGGGTGCCCAACTTTAAATTTTAATTAAAAAAATATTTACTAACTTTATTTAAGTGAATTTGGGCTTCCTTGGTCTTTTTGGCAACTCACATTTTGTTGTACACCCACCAATATGCTTAAATAATGAACTTTTATTATTACTAATTTCAATCATGTTTAACATATAATAAAATTTGAAAGGACCAGTTAGTATTAAGCACTAGTAGTATTCTTCTTCACTTGTAAGTGAGAAGTTTTAGGTTTGATT